AGGACGACATCGTCTCCTGAATAGTTGTTGCTCGTGGAGTTTTAGTAGTGTTCTGAAAGCGTCTATGGACCCATCTCCACGAACATGTTTATTTACCGCACATTCGTCTAGTCAGACCTCTAAAGATGTGAACTTGGGCTCGGTGGAAGAACCTGAAGCATCTGACCATCACTGTCCGAAGACCATCCTTGGAGTGCAGTGCAGACTTCGACTCGAGTGGGACAGACCGCACTCGGTCGGACAGTATGGCAAGGATAGCTCAGGCCGTCCGAGAAACAGACCTTAGATAGTTCTTCGCCGTCCATTTCGAGAACGCACTGCTGCTGCCCTCGCCGCAGACCACCTAGAGGCATCAAACAGGAGGGCAACTCAAGGCTGAGTTTGACACCGTCGGTCAAGACATTCATGCGGTTATTGGACCTTCGGTTCTCGGTCTCCGTCACTGGAGAAGGTAATGGGTGTAGCTTTCCACGTCAGATGCCGCTAATTGTCACGTGTAGAGGGAAGCCATCAGTGACTTTATCGAGGCCGGCCAGATCAGGCATGATAACGGTCGTATCAACCGCACATGTGCGGAACGGGAGGAAACCGTGTTAAATTTATCAAACGTGAATCAACTTGGGGCTTATAAAGAGTTGAGTCCTTGCTGCCACGTAAACAATGAGTGAAGCTTATCTCTACGTGTAACACGTTTAATATCGTTCGACCAATGGACGCTGAAGTTGTACTAATTACAACAATTACACTGCACCCCACGATGTCTAAGTGGCAGTGACTCAAGATAGAAAATAAATAAGTGAATATCTCCGTGCATCATTCGATTTAAACAGTACTTAAGGAAAAAAACTGCAGCATCTCGCCATTAAATATATATTAAATGATTACAAAATCATTTTTGCGTCTCCCGCATTCTTCGGATGGCAGCGCGAGTGGTTGCAGCAGCAGTTGTGCTGCAGACGTATGCGCCTCCAGCGACTACCTTTCGGCAGCCTTTGCAGTTCCAGATGCCGGTAGCCTGACGCCTTAGTGCTTCCTTAAGGGAGTTATGGTAAATAATTTTAGAAAACCTTTCCGCAAAAATTGCAGGTATAGGTGGCGTGTTGGCTGATTTCTATTTTCTTGACGGTCTTTCGGAGGGACGCACCATAGCGGGTGCCGTACTTCCCAACAATACCAACCTTCTTTGTTCTTTTGGCCTAATTTCAATTCATATACGCAAAACCGTCGAACTCACCATCACACACGAGAAATCCTAAGTGACCGCCCAAACTAAAGTGGCCTACTTAAACAAAGAAATTATTGTGATCGTGACGATTTTAATGTTAGTAATATTTACAATTAATAATTAATAAATACTCCCAGTTTTAAATTAAACAAGCGAATTTATGCTAAAACTCAAATTTATTTCGTTTTTGTTGACAAGTCTCTGTCATCGTGTTAACGAAGAATGAAGATACCGGTTATTCCGATTTCTCAGTAAGTTAAGCGAACGCGAATAGGCAGTTCGTTTGTGTACGTAACTAAATTGAATTACAAAAATATTTTTGGCACAGGGGCCGTGCTGTGCTAGGGGAGATTCGTATGCTCGTACTCTAGAGAGAGAAAATGATTAACGATTTGCCATCGTTCTTACAGACATGATCTACTCGGCCATCTGGTAGAGTACTAATATCTATTCTGTGCGCAGCCTGATAGTTCAGCTGAAGGCCTTCGATAGATTTAATAATAAAACAGACTGTAATCCGATCATTATTGCCCTGTTAGATCATTAGGGACTTGCATCTATGAACGCAAGCCGTAATACCATCGATCGAAGGGCTAAACTCCTGTAAATCTATTCAGATGCATGAGACCGAAGAGAAGGATCTGTACTTTGACTACAACAAACTGGGTGCCTTCTGAAAACAGGCTGTTCTAATCCGCTTTGGTATTAATGGTACTCCCCTTTACTCTTTCATTTTCGCTGTTAGATCACAGATAGGGTTCTTCCGTACAAGTGGACATAAGGTAATTTATATATTTCACTATTTCAGACAAGTCCTGTGCCGAGATATAGTAGGGTTGCTTAATCGATCTTGATTCGAAAATTGACCTGCGTATGAATCATAACACTGGATACTTTAGTAAATAAATACGCTCTTGGGGGTTAAATCCTACTTAGAAACGATTCAATTGAGTAAGTTATGTTATGCAATATAGTTCGTACCCTTGCTCTTTATATCTTAGTGATGACTGTTTGGACAATTTTTTCTCGCCAACTGTGCCGTATTATATTTATCCACTCAATTAGACCGTAAGACTAAGAAGTTGTATGTTGCGTAACGCTTGCAATTCGAAATCGGGTCTGGTAGTCGTTTCGGGTTTCTGTGATGAATTAACTGTCGCATTAGCTTTCCTGAGCATATTATTATGCATGAGTTACCTTTGATCGCTAAAAATTCAACGAAAATGTAACAAGTAGATTATGATATTTCGAAAGAAACTTATTAAAAAATAAAAAATTTTGGCCTCCCGTCGTCTTTGAATGCTAGAATTGTAACGACCTACAAGAATATGGTCAGTAGGTACCATGTATGCATACCATCATAAGATAGGATAGTAGAGGAAGAAACTTCGGATGAAATGAATGTCTAATGATGTGGTAGTTATAAAAGATTTACTGAATAATCGAGAGAAAAAATATATGATGATATAATATGGCTACAAAGGGTTAATAAGTGGGAGCAGCCGGCTGCTAATAATGGGGATATTCATCTAAAAGGAGTTGTATCGGGGTTGAGGTTGCTGGCCGACGTGTACGCTGGTCGTGTTGGATATTCTGAAAAGGGAGACAGCGCGAAGGTTTGGTCATATTTACCTGTAAGGTTTGAGTTTCGTGACAGAATCATGACCGACGATC